GGTACATCTGATATGGTATCAAAACAAAATTTGCCAAAGAAGGTTTAATGTTAATATCAGTAAAAAGTTTGAGCGTTGTGGATTAGATCAAATAAAGTATAATTATATTTCAATATTTTCTATAGTTTGGTTTGTAAGGGTTAGATATGTTTTTACGAGTTGATCACAGATTGATATCAGTTAGAGAACCATTGAAAACCAGGGTTCTCTAACTGATATCTATCCGTGATCAACTCGTAAAAATATATCTCAATAGGTTACACACAATGATAAGTTTTGTTATTGGTAATATTTCGAGCAAAATTGCTGCTCGTGTTCACACCACGTTTGGCCGAATATGGGATTGTCATTTTTTTTATTCCTTCACGTTCCCAGTGGAACATAGGGCTTCAAGCTAGAGGCTTGAAGTTCCTGTAGCAGTGTTTATTTTTACAGGATGGGGTTGCTAGCCTCATGCCTAACCTTTCTTCGTTACCAGCTTTTATTTCTGGTTTGGCGAGGTAAAGGAGTGCGTCGGCCGGGGATCGAACCCCGGACCATGTGCATGGTCGGCGAGCTCCCTAACCGCTATGCCACCGACGCACTGGGATTGTCATTAAGCCAAGTAAATGTGAATTTGGTAAGAGAACTATAGAAGTTTTGGGACATCAGGTAGACAGTCAAGGCATTCGACCGATAGCAGAACAGCTTCAAGTCATAAAAGAATACCCTATCCCAGATTCTTTCAAAAAGTTACGCCGATTCCTTGGTCTCGTCAATTTTTATCGCCGTTTCATTCCTCACTGTGCACAGCTGGCCCAACCTCTGACAGATTTACTAAAAGGTCACGCAAAATCACTGCACATGAATACTTCAACAATCGAAGTATTTGGAAAGCTGAAACAAACTCTGAGCTCAGAAATTTTACTGGTTACGTCGTGATGTCAACGCTCCTATAGCTATTATGATAGATGCATCAGACGTCGCCGTCGGCGAGGTTCTTCAACAATTTTCTGCTGGGAAATGGCAACCTCTCCAAACGTCTAGATGCTACTCAATCCAGATATAGTACATTCCGTAAGGAATTACTAGCAGTCTATCTTGCTGTTAAACATTTTCATCATATGGTAGAAGGAATACCGTTTACCATATACACAAACCTTTAGCCAAAGCCATGAATGCAAAGCACGATAAGTACTCACCAAGAGAGCTCCGACATCTCCAGTTCATTTCCCAGTCCACTTCAGATGTTAGATTCATCAAAGAACATAAAAGCGAGTTAGCAGATGCGTTATCCCGCATCCATATAAATACCTTAGAAAAAGACCAGTTTGATCTTAAAAACATGGCTAGGCTGCAAACTATGGACGAGGATCTGAAAAGACTAAAAAGTAGCACGTTTGGAAGATGTTATGCTTGATGAAAGCCTAACTATTACTTGTGATGTTTCCAAATGTATACCGCGTCCTTTTGTCCCATTAGAAATGCGAAGATCAGTTTTCTCCAAAATACATGTCATTTCTCACCCTGGCATCCGAGCGACAGTTAAACTGATAAGTGACCGATATATATGGCCGAATATGAATCGTGAGACTAAACAGTGGATCATATCATGTTTAGCCTGCCAAAAGTCAAAAGTACAACGACATACAGTCTCACCAGTTTCCCGAATTTGATGGTAGGTTCTACCACATTAACATTGACATCGTTGGACCGTTACCACCATCTAATGGCTTTACTTACATCTTAACATGTTTTGGCAGATTTACGAGGTGGCCAGTAGCTAGTCCCTTACCTGATATTTCTGCTGAAACTGTTGAAAAGAACGTTATACAAAACTGGATTTCCAATTTTGGAGTGCCCAGCATTATTATTACAGACGGGAGTGCCCGATTCGAAAGCCATTTATTCCAAAAACTCACAGAACTACTGGGAAACAAGCGTACACTTACTACTGCTTATCATCCCAGTTCAAAAGGCCTAGTGGAGAGATTTCATCGTCAACTGAAAGCATCATTGATGGCAGTGAAAGATGATGATAAGTGGAGCGACAAATTACCTCTCGTACTTCTTGGAATACGTACGGCAATAAAACAAGATATCGAATGATGTCCAGCAGAATTAGTTTATGGAAATACTTTACGACTGCTTGGAGAATATTTCAACCCAGCCGCTGAAGTTCCAGCTGACGAAACTACTTTTGCACAACACCTGAGGCAACATATAAGCCTTTTAAGATATTATCCCTCGCGACATCAGCTCAACCAAGCATACATGCCTCAAAAACTAGACGATTGCACTCATGTTTTCATACGACACGACGGTGTAAGGAAACCACTTCAACCACCTTATGACGGACCATTTAAAGTAATAAGCAAAACAAGCAAAATCATCACTGTCGAACGCGGAGGAAAACACGAGAATGTAAGCATTGATCGCGTAAAACCAGCTTTCATGGAAATAGAGGTGACTGAATGTTTACCCAAATCAACATCACCTAAAGTTGAGCCACAAAATGATTCCTGCTCTCAAGATTAAAAATCTGGTGATATTCCGGCTAACAAAACAGAAAGAATCACAAGATCAGGCAGACGAGTACATTGGCCACAAATATTTGTTCAGACAATTTATTTCTAATTCATTTCCATACTCCCTTATTGCTGTACTATTAACTGTATGTAAGATATAAATCTATTCTGTAGGTCTTTACAATAACAACCTCATTATTATTCTAATAATTTTTCTGGTTTTATTGTTACATTTTGCACAACTTTCTAAACATTTTGGTTTACTTCAAAGTTGTTAGCATTTTTGAATATATACAGTCATATTATCAAACCTCAGAAAACTTAAAAGCCTCAATTTGGTTTTTATACCAGAAACTCTTATATACTTTTTGTGTCTTTATAATTTACAATAATATTCCGAATACAGCTAAACTTCATTTACCTGCATTCTATGAAGGGGCTATTGTAGTGACTCATTTTATTACTCATCATTGTAGTATACTTTCACTATGTAATTGGACTTTGATTTTTTTATCACTCTAAATATTGCGTGTTAACAATTGATGAATTGTTCCTGCTCAACTTTTGAATTTTGACTACTGCGAGAATACACGTTCATACTCCCTCTCAAGTGCTTTTTGATTTACGTTGTGGATGTCGAGTAATCACAACCTTAAGACACATTGATAAACGCGAAGAAGTACTAGGATATACTTGTAAGCTAGTTGGGTTAAATTGAGCAGCACAACACTCTTGCGGTCCTATACTGAAATGCCCTAAAATATTGGAGCGAGCTGAAGGGCGGTAATAACATGTTCACCTTGCAACGAGATCTCAACAAACTTTTGGATTAGTCTGAAGACTAGATTCTCCTTATCAAAGTTATGAAGTTCACAACCATGAGAATTGAACACGCAAGCGTCAGCTCATGCGAAGTAGAGGGAATAACGCTCCACCAGTTCAGATTTATATGGACCTAGGTATCATAATAAGTCACGACTTAAAAGCCAGGGCACACTATCACGAGGTGGCAGAACGTAGCTTCAGATCTTTATGGGCAATTCGCACAGTTTAAATCTCTTCTCCCTAGCATAGTGAAGTAGACAGATTGGAGGTTTCATTACAATGTTTAAAATTTTAAATAATGACTGCGAACCTGATGTATTCTGTCTTCTTCTTCCCACTGGGAAGGAACACCTTAGAGGACATAGCAGAATAGTTTAAAAGCCAAGAAGTAACCATATTACTATGGAGTATTGGTCAGTCGGTCGGTTTTCGACATAGAACTTTGCACATATGTGCGGTAGTCGCCACACTCCATGTAGCACACAAAGCAAGAGACGAAAGTAGGAGAAATGCATAATATAGACAGTAAACAGAGGTGTGAGACAAAGGAATAGTAATAACGAAGAACAAAACAGTTTCATTGGAAATCATGAGTCACAAGGAGTGGGTGCATCTGCGCCAGCCTTTGAGAACGATTTTGAGCCATATCACCAATTGTCTCCAGACTTCATTGGTTTTCGCCGTCCTGAGGACCCCAACCAGGAAGTCTACACCTTCCTACGTGGCTTAAACCAACTGTTGATTTCATTGACTGGTGCCATGTTTTGGTTTGACCGCCGCTAGCTCTTTTCCAGCCTGGCTCTATGTCAGCTAACATTGCCCGTCGAGGAAGGCGATGACTAGGCATACGTAACACATGTCCTAACCATCTCAGTCGATGTAATTTCACAGTCTCGTCGAATGATTTCCCCGCCTTACCTAGCACTCGACGCCTAACCTCAATATTGCTCACCTTATTATACCACTTCACGCGGGAGATAGAACGCAGACACCTATGATCGAAGACAGCTAATCTTTTCATGTCTTCTGCTCTCAATGGCCAGGTCTCACACCGACTCATCAAATCCTGGAACCGACCTCCAGAAGAAGTGGTATCATCATCCTCAATCGACTCATTCAAGAAAAGTTTGGACACGCATAGAAATTCACTAGAAAAGGACTGATGTAGTCTTCAAGGCTTCTATCGTCAACCAATAAATCTGAAAATAAACACTGTACTACTCTGTGCACCAAAATTTAAAACTTACAGATTAAGTGCTCAAAAACAGTCCTACTCTACTTCAATACTGGCAAATACCAGTGCTTACAGGGAGATTCCCATTTGGAAATTTTCTTTTCTTTCATAAAGCAGATTATTTATGATGCTAACACTGATTGTAGAGTCAAGCAGAGTAAAAGCCTGACTAACTAACTCACTAACAGGTCATTGTAGAATTTTACTCACAAAGAGTAATAACTAAAGAAATATGAGTTTCAAAATGAATTTAAATCTTGAAATACGATACAATTCATCATGATATTAACTTTACTCTGAAAATTACATAGTAAAATGATGACTAACTCAGTTTTAACTGCAATGCAGCTCCACATATTTGTACGCTCACACTCTGATAGACCGATAGATAGATGGAGTAATGGCGTATGATGAACCAATTACATTAAATGTTATCAACTTATCGATAAATTTCTTCGTATATTTCCTGTTGAATTCCTTAATATGTTTCGCTTACATTCTTCATCTAACAAATTATTTTGTTGTTTAAATGAATTACGTCGATATTTACTAGCATTACAATTATCCCCAGAACTTTTATTTGATAAATAACTTTTATTATGACAATTGATTAAAATGTATTCAGGTTTTGGTTTTTCATAACCTACAGTACCAATTTTCCATACACACTTTTGATATGACGGTGGTGATGCTGATTTCGTTGTCAATGAGATTTTCTTTCCAGCATTAGTATTATCATATGAATTAGAATCATTTCTGCTATGATTTCTCTGATTTAATTTCAGCACCCATATACCAAATTTTAAGCACTGCATAGATATTTTGGAATAGGATTTATCGCATGGTAAATGTATCAGCAATGTACATAATGATACTTTAGATTTTACATCCCCGTCCAACTTATTGCTATATTTCTCATTTAAAAAAGGCTCTAGCCACCATGATACACGAGTAGAACAATTTCTACTTGGTGAATATTCTTTATGGAATAATTGTGCTACAGATGCAATATCCTTCCATGTTCTTATTATGTTTAATGTTTCAATACTTTCATCAGCGGGTTCATATTGACATGCACTATTGCATTCTTTCAAACCGATTGTATCAAGAAATACTAGAAAGCCGTTATTACACTTTTCTAACTTCTCTGTTAAGTTAGGATTATAACAGTCATTACCGACACGTATGATAACTAACCTGTGGAATGCGTTTGATTTCATTTGATGTCTACGCTTTCTTATTATCGTCAACAAACTCAAAATGTCATGCATACTTTTAACTGAATATTGTTTTAAATGATGCATGAAAGTGAATTCATTATTTGAAATACTTTTCGCGGTATTATCGTTTTGCAATTTGATTGGTTGATTTATGATACCGTCTATTTCGCTGTCACTACTTGCTATTGGTATCTCTACAATAGATATGTGAATGACTTTTCGATACTTATTCATTGAATGTTCAGTGTTTTGAAATTCTTTATGAATATTATTGCCAGTAACACAGTTATCTTCATCAAAATCACTGTCAGATGTATAATTTGAAAATTGAATATTTTGTAATAAGCGTACTAAAGATAAACCAAGGAAACCATAATTTTTAGCAAATTTTGTACAATGTAATAAATGGCTAATGTTAGGTGTATCCTTAAATTCAGTGTCCTTGGTAAAAAGTTCAGCATTACCAAATAGTGTGCTGGTTTTACCCGTATTATATGGTCCAACTGAAATGAAGCACTTTTTTAAACCATTTGGTACTAGGTCGAGCAAAGATTTATACTTGCTATATAACTCCAACGGGTTGCATAAACCAGACGAGATCACCTTAGACAAATGACAAATAACTGGTTTACTACCGGCAGTGTTGTTCGATGTTTTGTCTCCTGTCTCTTGGTGCAGTGGAGGTTGAAAAAGTATTTCTGTATCAGAAAGGCATTGAATACATGATTCGTGCACAGTTGTTTTTAGCAACAAAACAACATTGAAACGACCTTCAGATAACTGCACATTATTTAACCTCTTTTGGAGCTCTACTTGATTACTTTTCTCGCTCATTTCTATGAGAGAGTATGCTGTTGACATTTCGTGTAGTTGTTGAACGGTTATATTTGACTCTAGAACAGCCAGCTGATACTGACGTTGATAAATCGACTTCTGATGCCTGATACGTTCTAATTCTTTGAATAGTTGTAATTTTTCTAATTCTTTTGTGTTTAGAATTGATTTATGACGATGAATTTCACTGTCCAGCTGTTTTATTTCCATTTGCAAGTACTTATGTTTCACAGATTCTGTAATAAACTTACCATTTGCTTCTTCTAATTTTAATCCTGAGGATTGGACATTTTCAATATCACCTTTTAATTTCTTATAGTTGTCAAGGGAGTTATTGTACATATCTAAAAGTTCTTTATGTTTTTGGCTAAGTATTGAAAATTCTTTTTGTAAATTTTCATAAATAAAATCTAAATTTACATTATTAGATTTAGCTAATTCCTCTTCATCACAGATCCATTTCGACTTGTTAAATCTACCTTTGGATGCTTCATCACTTGTTGTCTTCCATGTTGAACTCGTTAAATGTTCAATGCTGGATATCATTGTGTTATGCTGATTATTATTGCTATTGTCAGATACAGATGTTGTTGTAGTAGTATGCACTTCTATTTGATTGAGAAGGTCATGCTTACATTGGTCAGGTTGATTATTCGATTGTAGTAAACTATTGGTATTTGGTTTAAATTCAAACTGTGTTATTATCGGATCTGATTGCCGAAGATCACCTTCGCTTAATTTTAATCTGTTTTTAAAAACATCCACTTTATTCGCTGATATGTCTGTACCTTCAGCAGTTTTATTAAAATCTTTTGAAAAGACACACTCTGGGGTTAATTTAGAATTGAAGGAATCATCAATACACTCTGGTGAATTATTCATAGATTTGTACTCTTTGGTTGTTGTAGCTCTCTTAACGTGTTTAGCCATCGTTCTACTTTGGTGTATTTCTTGTGAATTTGATAAATTTCCGTTTTGATGCTTATTATTATTATCATCTTGTCTTGAAATGATTCTATCCACCTTCAAGCCTGGGCGATAATAATAATGCTTGTAAATATTTTCATTTTGATTTAAAATCAGTGCGGAATCATTATTGAATATACTCTGTCTTAATTGTAGCAGTGAGTCATTATCTGCATTTAGCTTATTTCCTCTAGCGAATTTCGAGTTTAATTCGCCTTTATTATTTTCATTTTTATTATCGTTTGATGATAGTTGTATACTTCTATTACCCATTAGTAGAAAATGTTTGAATAAAACAAAATAGTATGCTATGTATAATGCATTATTATAAATAAACTTATGATTGTTACATTGTGTATATTATCAATCTTCTCATTATCGATTTTAATTTTCAAATCAGGAATCACCTTGTTTATCACAAGATTGTTGATTGAGGCATTGAGGTTACATTCTCCTCTGATCAGTTATTGTTATTAAGTTGAATAATTAACTGAATAATAATAGTAATAGTAACTGGAATAAAATGTAATTTCAGTGAGATAAGAACGACAAATGTACCAGCATAGTATGAGCTCATTTTTTTATTATTTCGAGCAATCTTCTTAACTGACTCCAACTTGAACAACACATGTGCAAATTTTTACAAAACTCCGTCAAAATCCCTGACAAAGGAGAAATTGTTTGATGTTTTCCCAGAAAATCCTGAGGAGTTTATTTGTAATCTGTCGAGTCTGAAGTTAAATCGCATTGAAACGGAAGCACTTTCCCTTGGATTTAACTTTCATATCCCCAATAACTTTGTCAAAAGAACCGATGACGCAGTTCAATTCGAAGACTTATTCTATCAGCTGAATGACCTTACTCCAGTTGATAAGGACAAGAAGAGATGGTTCAAATCTAAGCTGGTCGACGTTGCAAATCAATACCTCAATTCACTAACGTCATATTCCAAAATTCTCTCTGAAGAACATCAAAGAGCATTGAAAGCTCTCAAAAATAATGACAAAATTGTCATATTGTGACCCGACAAAGGCTCAGGAGTGGTACTTATGGACAAAGATGACTACATCGCAAAGATGAAAACTGTGTTAAATGACACGTTGAGGTTTAAAGTTGACGACTGCCAGAAAGATAAGACAGATGCAGTTGAAAAACGTATCACAAACATACTGAGAGATCTTCTAAAGAAGAAGTTGACTGACTACAATACGTACAATGATTTGAAACCTCGAGGGTCCCGCTTACCACAAATGTATGGCTTTCCAAAGACACACAAAGCAAGTCCCCCTGGGACCTATACTTTCGATGATAAACTCGCCCCAACGTAAGGTTGCTTGTTGGCTTGCAGAGAAGTTGGAACCTACTCGTCGACGGCTAGCCGTGCACACTATAAACGACTCATTTCATTTCGCCGAAAGTGTGAACCACATGAGCGTCTTAAATAAGTTCATGGTGTCATTTGATGCAACCTCCTTGTTCCCGATGATTCCAATCAATGAAACTATTGAGATCACTTGTCAACAATCTGATCTTCTCCCACTCCCAGGGTCGGAATTCAAACGCCTACTGCTAATGTGTACCATGGATGTGCAAATCCAGTTTGACAACATTCTTTACCGCCAAATAGGTGGTGTAGCTATAGGCAGTCCAACTAGCTCTGTTTTAGCAGATATATTAATTTCCAACCTTGAAAGAACAAAGCTGAAGCATGCAATCAACGAAACAACTCCCTATTGTTGACATGTCAATGACACATTTGTAGTGTGCAACAATGAAAGTCATGCTTCCTACCTACCCAGATTATTCAGTAAGGCACATAACAATATTGAATTTACTAAGGAACATGAAAATGATGGAAAGTTCCATTTCTCCGACATTGCCATGCAACGCCTAGAAGATGGTAGTCTCCAGAAGTCAATTTACAGAAAGCCTACACGGAAAGGACAATAATGACATTTTAATAGTTTTTGTCAAAATAGCTTTAAACGAGGACTAGTCAAGACTCTATACTACACAGCTAGAAGATTATGCTCTGTGTAGAAATTAGAGGAAGGATTTATGTTTTTCGAAAAGATGTTGAAAAGCAACGGTTACACTCAAAGGTTTATGGACAAGTATGAAATATATGAAGGCTAAAATGTCAAGCAAATCACAGTGGGAAAAAAGCCCATCTACATTCAACTTGATTATTAAGATGAAAATATTACAGCAGTTGCCAACAGAAGATTGAGGACGTCTCTAGGCAAAGCCTATCCTGCAGCTAAGCTCATTCCCGTCTATCTAACAACTTGCTCTTTGGTGCAATCAAAAGTAGACAGATACCCTCCTCGTATTAAGTTCAGCTGTGCCTACAAATTTACATATATATGCGGGAGCAGTTACATTGGAAGAACAGAAAGAGGGACATACCTCTGGTTTTCTGAACATGTACCTAAAAGCCTGCGTCTCAAGGAAACAAATGCTTTGAACACTACCATCGCCAGGCATCTCCTTGACACAGGTCATAAGGTGGGCGTCGCAAGATCGTTCAAAATTATCAATGTGTAAAAGAGTTCAATTATCCTCAAGTTTGCCGAAGCAATCTCCATCAAGCGCCTGAAACCCGATTTATGCGTTCAAAAAGAGGTGGTTATCAGTATTTCCTTGCCCTGGTAACTGGATATGTTCACCCTCTCTTTCATCTGATTACGTAATGTCGGAAGTTTCCATTGTGTATGATTATTATTGTTCCTGATGAAGTGTTTATTATTATATATATTATTATTGTATGCCCATATTGATTAATTGATTTTTACTGATTCAAATTGCCCATTAAAATTTTCAAAAGAATGGATACTGAACAAAGAGTACTCTTTTCGATAAATTCATCATCAGGCCCTACAATTACATATACATTAAAGTGAATGAATGAATCAGTGTTATGAACAACATTAATGCTGTTTAAATAACATCGAATCAATAATATCGATAGATTACAGCTGAATAGTATCAACATAAAATAAGCTGAATGTCAGAAGAACTCGGAAAGATAATATTACAAATTCATGAGTTTATAGTTTCTACCGAGGGCCAGGGCAGTAGTAGGGGCTGGACTTGTTTCTTTTGAACACAGAGCACTGGTTGTTTGAGGCGAATTGCAATAGCCTCTGCTGTTTGGAGCATGCGGTGCTTCAATGATTTCGGTAATTTGTTAGGCACCCGGTATATTATAGAGAAGGATTCTTCTACGCTGGCTTTGTGACCGGTTTGCACCAGATGGTCTAATATCGAGCTGTTAATAGTTTTAACTACACCTTTACTTAGACATAGTGGGATATGTTCTCGAGCACAAAAATCAAGTTCCTAGAGCAACGGCCGATATAACTCGCTCCACAAGTGCAGTTGAATTGATAGATACAATTTGAAGTGGCTAGTCTAGGTACTTCATCTTTCAGTCGAGGTAGCACCATCGGTCGTGTAGAGAATAATACGTGTAGTTCGCCAGCATTAAAAGTTCTTTGAACTGATTTCCTTAATTTCTTCGTAATTATCTCACATGGTATATCGCCCATGAATTGCAGTCGTATATAAAGTGGCTTCTTGTTTACAGATAGTGGGTAGTCCTTTTCGGCTTTCTTTGTCATATGTTATTTGATAAATTTGTTAGGATAACCATTTTCGATCAAAGTATCATATACAATGCATAATTCATCTTCAATTACTTCTTCAGAGCATATAGCTCTAACTCTGTGGCTAAGGGTCTTCACTAAATTTCTTTTGTAATTGATGGGAACGAAGCTGTGAAAATGTGTATATTGTCCTGTCCAAGTACTTTTTCTATGTTATAGTAGCATTCAAAGAAATTTGCATAGAAAAAGTACTTGGACAGGACAATATACACATTTTCACAGCTTCGTTCCTCTCAAGTATAAAAGAAATTTAGTAAAGACCCTCAGTCACAGAGTTAGAGCTATATTCTCTGAAGAAGTAATTAAAGATGAATTAAGCATGGTATATGATACTTGAATCGAAAATGGTTATCCTGACAAATTTATCAGGAAACATATGACTAAGAAAGTTGAAAAGGACTACTCACTATCCGTAGACAAGAATCCTGTATAAACATAAGACTACAATTCATGGGCGATATACCATGTGAGATAATTACGAAGAAATTAAGGAAATCAGTTCAAAGAACTTTTAATGCCAGCAAACTACACGTATTATTCTCTACACGACCGATGGTGCTACCTCGACTGAAAGATGAAGTACCTAGACTAGCCACTTCAAATGGTATCCACCAATTCAACTGCGCTTGTGGAGCGAGTTATATCGGCCGTTGCTCTAGGAACTTGATTTTTGTGCTCGAGAACATATCCCACTATGTCTAAGTAAAGGTGTAGTTAAAACTATTAACAGCTCGATATTAGACCATCTGGTGCAAACCGGTCACAAAGCCAGCGTAGAAGAATCCTTCTCTATAATATACCGGGTGCCTAACAAATTACCGAAATCATTGAAGCACCGCATGCTCCAAACAGCAGAGGCTATTGCAATTCGCCTCAAACAACCAGTGCTCTGTGTTCAAAAGAAACAAGTCCAGCCCCTACTACTGCCCTGGCCCTCGGTAGAAACTATAAACTCATGAATTTGTAATATTTTCTTTCCGAGTTCTTCTGACATTCAGCTTATTTTATGTTGATACTATTCAGCTGTAATCTATCGATATTATTGATTCGATGTTATTTAAACAGCATTAATCTTGTTCATAACACTGATTCATTCATTCACTTTAATGTATATATAATTTTAGAGCCTGGTGATTGATTTTTGTTTAAAAATGAACTCTGTGCAGGAATGTTAAAATTGTTTCTGTAGATATACTTAGTAATGACTTTCCTGTGAGCAGCTGATGAGAAGCTAACGAAATATATGTTGGTTCCATTTTATTCTTCAAAAACTGTTGTTCTTGCTTTATTCCAATTAATGAAGGGGAATAAATGTACGATGGCAAGTAGTTATTGGGGTAGGAACTAAGATAAACACAAGTGAGAAATGATGTAAGTTGCTAAATAATTAAGAGTGCAAAGGATTGACTATGTATAGGAAAATTAGATGACTACGACTGGAAATAAAAGGATGGAGTTCAGTAGATTCTTGTGGGTAGAAACAAAGTTTAACTAGAAAGAATATAACAGATAATAGATTGTGTAACCATAAAAATTATATTTTTCTGAAATAGCCAAATAATGGAGGATGAGTCATGTTTAGATGAAAAATAAATTTTCCTATAC